ATATAATTAATTAATATTTTTTTATCTTCACTAATCACGGCATATTTAGTTTCATAAGGGACGCCGGACGTCACTGTCGTCTAACCGTGCCATAGACTTTTAATACAGAATTTCGTACTGGGAGCTTCAGGGAGCGCTAATTGCTTTTAGTCAGGGTTGTAAAGTATTTACGTACAAGTAACTGGAAATCGGTATTTAGGTACTTTTGTTGTACCTGAGGTACAAACTTAGCTACTTTTATTTATCGCTATCTGGATCCGTATCTTAGGTACATATCTTAGGTACAGGGAGCGCAAATTTTTGATAGTATACTATAGTTCACTATAAATAGTACTATTGATAATTTTACAACAGACTACCTTCGGCAATGCTTTCTATAGCTTTTACCATCCATAGTTACGTGTGGGCTTAACCAGCGACAGTATATATATCACTATTGATAGTTTTGGTAAACTAGCTGCTGAACGCTCTTTTCTACGATGTCATCTGGATGTCATCCGTGCTTCCAAGCGAATGATATTATCACTGTCCTCCTGTGTGTGTTACGTGTTCACACCCATCATCTGAACGACCTGGTCGATGAAGTGCCGTATATGACACGACACTTCGGCAGCCTTTTGAAGATGTCGACGGACCTCCAAACATGTCTTGCATACCAAGTAATGTCAAAAAACATGTCAAACATACCGGGTAGCTGGTATGTTTCCTTATCCATCTTGAGCTGTTGAGCCATAAAAAAACCACGAACCCTTATTCATAAGATAACACGCCATATTGTTTTACTCCGAGGTTCCATTTTCCTATAAGGAAGCAAGCTCCACTCGGATCGGCTAAACTCTATCATTATAAATTACCTTGGCCCGAGGTCATTACATTCCATCCGTTTCGTTAAGTTATGGTAATCCCATGAGACATTCGTAACCCGACGCCCGGTCCTCTGTTACACTACTTGCATAGAGTATTCCATGTTGAATTAACCTGAGACTGGGATAGAGAAGAAACATCAAAACATCCGCCTGAGAATATATCAAGTTATTAAAACGAAAGGCAGTAAGTAGTCGAGTTAGGAGTTCAAGGGAAGCTCGCACCTTTTTCCATTTTAGCAGAGCGAACGCTGAAGAGGAGGTCGCCTCTTCTCCAGCCTTCGCTCTGCTAAAGTGGAAAAGGAATTTTCAGGACACCTAAGCACCTCTAATGAGTTGTGAATGCGAAAGCATTCTCGGCATCGAGAGGAGAAGAAGCGGCAGCAGCGCCGGCAGAGAGTGCGGTGGTGTGCCGCGCAGACCGCCCTGGCTCGCTGGAGATCGCTGCGCCGCTGGGTGAGGCAGCGGCGGGAGTGCGAAGGTCAGCGTAGCGCGTGCTAAAATCACGTGTTGTGTCATCAGGGCCCCTAAACTCGTCAAACACAAAATTGGGGCCGAAGTTGAAGGAGCGCACTGATTGGCTTATCACGACGATGACTTCGCGCTTTTTTTGCCAACGTCCAATGAGCGCGCTCCGCGAACTTTGGGCTCCAACTTTGTCTTTGACGAGTTTAGGGCGCCAGCATGATCATCGGCCTAGCTGCGGGTACTTTTTGACGACGTTAGACCTCAAAGCGTAACGTTAGGCCTAGCGTTAAGACTAAAGTGAGGCCTAACGTCAGGTAAGCATATACCTTCGTCCCCACCTGACGTCGCACAGCTGTGCGTACCGCTTGACGACGTTAGACCTCAAAGTGCAATGATAGGCCCAACGATAGGCCTATCGTCAGGCCAGCTCATACCCGTGGCCCCCCTCCCCCTGCACCGCCGGCAGTTCGGCTGGCTCCTCACCAACGTTATTAGATTAGCTCAGTTACGGAACTGCTGATAGGCGTCGCATGCACAAACAGTACCCCCCTCACTCACCACGACTCGCCAAACGTCGCTCGACGCGCCGCCAGACGGCTGCTTTGGTAACTGAATGAAGATACGTACGTTTCAACGTTACTAAAAACGTAAAAACCAACGGAAAAAAACTCTTTTTGTAGTAACTTTTATTAGATTTTAGTACAAAATGAGGGGGGCGCGTGATATATTTTCTAAAATCTCTAGTTTGCAAGGTTTTGCAATACAATTAGTATTGCTTTCATGCAACCATGCCTCAGCGACGATTTTAGGTAGCGCGTCCCGACCTAGGCTCATCTTAAAGGGGCGGTGCAATGATTTTAACACTGAACGAATGCGCAGCTTGTATTTTTATATTGTTTTCTTCGGCATAAGTAAGAGAAAAAGTGCCACCATACCCCAAAATATTTCTATTTCGCTGCGTAATCGCAAAATAAAAACGCTTTTTTTCCAAACCTGCGGCCACAATGGAACCTGTGGTGTGACGTCATTCGGAATGGTTTTTGTAAGTGATAGTGTTAGGCAATTGTAAGCTTGATTTAAGGTTAAGTTTAAAAAATCTTGTTGTTTAGGCATGCAGAAACGCTTCAAAAGCCTAATATTGCCGCTAAAAGAGTATGAATTACTTGTGGCGCCATCTACCGCATGTCAACAAAACCTGTCGTCGCCGTCATCCGTCGACGCCCGAGGCGCCTACGGCGGCTACACGAGCAACCCGGAAGTTTTGTCTTTCCCTCGCTCGACGGAGTGCGTTGGTCGTGGTCCGTAGTATCGTGGTATCGTTATTGTTAATGGTGTCTCGACTTAGACTTCAACTGCCCGCCGCGTCGACTGCCCGCCGCACAAGTCCAACTGAATAGCGAGTTCGTTTCACGGCACTCGTGTCCACGCGTGCCCACTCGCGGCGTAAAGCAGGTTCGTTTTGGCAGGCACTCCACGAGTAGTTGCACTCTCCGAGTTCGTTTCAGCGGCGGCACCCCACGTTTGCATGCACTCGCTGCACCGAGAAAATCGAGCGTGCGCCAAAATGCAATCTCGTCATGCCTCGCACCGGCGAAGCCGGCGAGGAGCGGGAGCAGACGACGAGGGTTCGTCTGCTACGACGTGTCGCGGAACCGAAAGGGAAAAAAGTAGATTTTCTGATAGAAATCGCGTCCCGCGGGCAACGGAATCAAACGCGAGGTTGAATTGTGAGCGTCTGCTATTTCATGAAGGAAGCAATTGACAACCCGTACTTTATTTGCAGGTTTTAAGTCGCCTTGTTGCCGTACAAACGCTGAACTATACAGTGTGTCAAGAAAAGCTCAGAACAAACGCACCAGCGGCCCCCAGATGTTTATCAACATCCGTGTGTGGGTGAAAAATTGAACATTTGTCGACAAAACTCCCTCAGCAGAAACCTCTGACTGGCAAATAAGCAACAGAGAAAGCAAAACAAAGTTACTTTACCCGAGGCTTGGGCAACACCATCATGTTTAACATTTATCTACGTCAGCTAACTTGCCCCGTCGTATTTTGTTCGAGAAAGCTCTCGTTCTTGACGTCCTCACCAAAGCTAATATCTGATCCACTTTCTTCAGTGTAAGCGGTTATAAGAATTGAAAGATCGCAACCAGCTGTTTTGTAGACAGCTGGGTGCGGAAATTTACGCCGTCTGTAACTATCCCTACGACAGCTGAGTTGCTTGAAGTCATCGAAATATAAACTACAGGTTGCAGCGTTCAACGGTTGTAAATAAACGTTGGTAGTGACTGCACTCTCGCATTCTTACCCATCACTCCGAACAGAAAGGCGCTAGTTTCGGTCTGAGGTCGGTACCTTTTCTACAACATAGATGGCGGCAGCATTAGTCTTCTGCACTTCAAAGGGGGAGTCGCGCTGACTAGTTTTAAGAGCTCAGAAGGTTGGCAGAGATTTCTGGCTATTTTAATCAGAAGGCTCGGTCGAGTAACTACATCCTTTTGTACGCTGAGACACTAAAGTACGCCGTCTTAACCCCTTCCGTATCAGTGTTTTCTACGCTGAGTTATTTCACAGTATAAAAAAGGCAGTGTGCCCGGCGCCATGTAGATATGTGTAGATGGTTAGCTCTGGGCCGATGAACTCATCAAACAGCATAAACTATTCATAAAGTGGGATGGAATCAACGCAAGGAAGTCATCATTTCCTAATTGCTTGATGGCTGTCTCACAGCCAGATGATTCCTATGGCAGTTACTTGAGCAATATAATACGCTCACTTCTGGCATCTACTGGGGTTCGAAGTCGGTGTTCGTGGCTATATGGTTTATTAAAATTATCGAACAAACATCTATGTTCTGACGCTTAAAACGCGAGACTGTGGTGAGGGAAAGATAGAAAACTTTGAACTAGAATATAAAAGGCAGAGAAGACATCTCTTTTCCTTTCGACTTCGAAGTTTCAAACTTAGCTTACCACAGTCTCGGGTTTTAAGCATAATGATTAACTATCACCAGCTCGCCCGCACACTCACTGCCTTTTCATTGATCTATGTCGTGTTTGCGCTTTTATTATACTTTATTATAAAAGAAAGGCAAATTAAAAGTAATTAGCATTTTTAGGAAATTCATTCACCCCCCCCCCCCTTTTTCTGTCGTTTCTCTGCCACGCACATCATTCTGCAGCTAATGCACACTCTTGACACAGCTGACGAAATAGAATTAGTGACACGAACCTTAATCCTCTTTTACACTTATACTTTCACGATATAACCGTTGTAAATAAATAAGTACCCCTTCCAATAAGTTCTAGTTACACAATAACAACACACGAAGTTGTTTTTTTTCTTCTTGTTATTCTTTTAAGAAAAAATACCGCGCTATGAAGGCCGAAAAATATCAGCCGTTTTGTGTGACTTCTAGAAGATTCGGCACTATAGTGCTAGGAAAACGTTCAGAATCAATGTGGAGCTATGCCGCTCCACAGATGGATCCGCTCCACGGATGCCGCTGGAACGCACATCTTCAAACAAAAAACGATATTGTCCAGGATTGCAACAAAAGGAAAACCAGAAACTGTGTGGCGTTTGAAAGATTTGACAGCTTCACAGCGCCTAGACGCCATAAGCATAGTACAAAACTAAAAAAAAAAAAGGAGAAAAAGATAAAAGCGTATGCGCCAGTGAGGTTTGAACTCACGACCCCTGGTTTACGAGACCAGTGCTCTACCACTGAGTTATAGCGGCAATTATCCTCAGGCTTTCACGGGATAAACTAGAACACAGCTTAATAAATCTAAAGCGTTCCGAGACACGATTTAAAGCATGGAATCCTTTTTCACGGAACACCAAACTCAATACGCTCACATTTGGCAACAAATAGGGGTTCGAAGCTGGTGTTTATGGCTATCTGGTTTATTAAAATTGTCGAACGAACATCTATATCCTGACGTTTAAAACGCGAGACTGTGGTGAGGGAAAGATAGAAAACTTTGAAGTAGAAGAGAAAAGGCGCAGAAGACTTCTCTTTTTCCTTCGACTTTGAAGTTTCCTACGTTAGCTCACCACAGTCTCGGGTTTTAAACATAATTATACACCATCACCAGTTCGCCTGCACCCTCACTGCCTTTTTATAAATCTATGTCGTGTTTAGGCCTCTATTATACTTTATTGTGATTTAATGGCAAACTAAAAGTAATTAGAATCGTCAGCTAATTTATTCACCCCCTTTTCTGTCGTTTCTCTGCCACACACCTCATTCTGTGGCGAATGCACACTCTTGACACAGCTGACGAAATACAAGCAGTGACATGCACGTTAACCATATTTTACATGCCATACTTTCTCAAAATAAGCGTTGTATCACTGAAAACATATAGGTGCCGCTTCCAACAAGTTCCATTTACAAAATAAGTACATACGAAGTTTTTTTTTTTTTTTTTTTTAATGAAATGCCGTAGCACGTTTTAAAAAGACCGCGCTATAAAGGCCGATAAATGTCAACATTTGTGTGTGACTTCTAAAAGATTTGATACTATAATGCAAGGATAACTTTCAGCATCATTGTGGAGCTATGCAGCTCCAAAGATGAGACCACGGATGCTGCTGGAACGCTAATCTTTAAACAAAAACCGATATTTTGTAAGAACGCAACAATAGGAAAACTACGAACTGCGTGGCGTTTGAAAGAATTGACAGCTTCACTGCTCCTAGAAGCCTGAAGAATGATACAAAAATAAAAAGACAAAAGCCAGATGCCGCCAGTGAGGTTTGAACTCACGACCCCTGGTTTACGAGACCAGTGCTCTACCACTGAGCTATAGCGGCAGTTATCCTCAGCCTTTCTTGGGATAAACTAGAACCGTTACGACATTCCAAGAACACTTTCCTACAGCTTAATATAGACCTTTCCAGCGGCAGTCTCGAACGAAGCGACCGGGCAAAAAATGCTGAGTCACTGAGCTGTGGACGCACGCGCAGCATCCGTTATACCGCATAGCAGATCAACAGCCCATGCTTGAAAGGCGTTCCACAGCCCAGCAGACAAAGATGACAGCGCGCAGGAGGCGATTTCTGCAAAGGTCTATATGTACAGAGTTTCGAGCTGAGATTCAAAAGCATGAAATGCTTTTTGTTGGGACGCCCCACTTCCAGAAAAGGGCCCATGCGTCCATCCTTACTAGGAATGCCACGAACTTTTTTCGAACCAAAGGTTCGATGATGGAATCAAGCGGTCGAAAGATTCGAAAGATTTCAAATTTTAGAACTTTCTATATCAAGAAATTCGACTGAAGTCAAATTTTCCAACTTATTAAACTAAGAAGTTCGACGCTTTTCGAAATTTCTAACTTATTACGCTGCAAAATTCGGTGCTTGTCCAACTTTCGAACTTGTTAGACTAAACAATCGATGATTTCCGAACTTTCGAACTTCTTCCACTAAAAATTTCGAAGCTTTTCGAAATTTCGAACTTCCTACGCTAAGAAAATATCGAAACTCTCATACGACCCACTCTAGAATATGCCTCTGTCGTTTGGGACCCCGCAACCAAGACTGACATAGACAAGCTCGGGAGAATACAGAGGAAGGCTGCACGTTTCATAACTTCAAATTACAAATCAACGTCCTCTGTGACAGAAATGTTGAATGCTTGCGGGCTTGAACCCTTAGCGGTTAGGGGAAAAATTGCGCGCCTAAAGTTTTTGTTTTTGATTTATCATGAACAAGTAAAGATCAACCGAGACACTTATCTTAGAAACATAACCAATAGATCAGCTAGATTAAATCATTCCAAAGCATTGCAGTCGTATCTGCCCAGAATCGATGTTTTCAAGTATTCCTTTTTTGCAAATACAATTAACGACTGGAATAAGCTTCCCGAACATATCGTAAGTCACAACGATGTTTCAGTGTTCGAAGATGCCGTTAGACTTTTTTACTCTGTTTAAAGAGTGAGCATATTGCCTTGGTGTTACTTTGTCTTTTTTTTTCTCTTTTTGGGGTTAAATATGTATATATTACGTGATACTTTAAATATTGTACTGCTTTTTTTTTGTGTATAGTGTTTTTGTACACGGCACGTGCCCTCAGTTATTAGTTATTGGAGATAATTTTTGTCAGTATATTGTCATTGTTAAATTTATTATCACTTTTTACGTGCATTTAGTGCTCTTGTTTTCTATTTTGCGCTCTTGGCGCGTTTTGTATTTAAACTTGTAATTACTTTATTGTTCGTAGCTCTGTTGGAGGTATGAGTCATATTCTTTTTTGTGTGTGTGTGTGTGTGTGTGTTTGTTCCTCCCTGCCACGGCCCCACGGGCCTGCAGTATGTACAAATAAATAAATAAATAAATAAATGATTTTCGAACTTTCGAAGTTATTAATCTAAAGAATTCAAAAATCGTCAAACTCTCGTTTTCCGAAAAGTCAAAAGTTCGACGAACTTCGAAAGACCGGCGGGCGGTTTCATTTGGATTCAAGCAGTGAGGTACATTCGTTTCTTCGTTGTTGTTTTTTTCGCATTTTTACATGCGGTGCCACTTTCCTTGCGAAAGACAACGCCGTTTATTTCAGTCATCTGGAATGCTTGGTTTTAAAGAAATAGATTCCCGAAGGAGCGAGGAAGGACGACGGGTTTTGTTGTCTTTGTTGAAAGATTCGATTAGAGTGCCAATGCACAAAGTCAGTGACGTGTGAAAGGTCTCGCCCTGTATCTTTGCTGCGTTATTTTTCAAAGGTTTTGAGATGGTCACACATACCCGTGTTTTCTTTTACTTCAGTCGAAAACTAGGTACCGTTTAGCACGTATTTATAAAAAGTCACTCCCAGCAGAAGCAAATCTCAGTTCTTCCATGGTTAATATAGCACCGATTGTTCTTTCGCGAGGACAAGTTGACATTGTTTACTTTCAGTTATCCAAGAATTTCGATAAGGTGAATCATAAATTGTTCATGTATAAACTTTCTATATACGGTATCACAACGCCATCGTTTACTTGGTTTAAAAGTTATATTACTGATCGTCAAAATTGTGTACGTGTACTGAGCAGTCTATCAGAAGTTCTTGTACCCTCTTTCGGTGTCCCCCAAGGATTGAACCTAGGGACACTCCTTTGTGTTATATGTAGCAATGAAAACAACTTGTGCGGAAAGAATGCGCAGATGATTTTATACGCGGATGACAAAATTTATTTATCAAAATTCAATCAGAAGATGATTGTGCTCTTTTACAGGATGATATATAACGCATTTCTGAATGGTGTTCTGATAATGTTTTACTTCTTAACAGAGTTAAAACCAATATACTCACTGTGTGTAAAAAAAGAAAAAAACATTTCTTTTCCGCACATACTTGGCAATTGTACTATTCCACGGGTTGAAAAAGCACGTGACCTTGACGTTTATTTTGATTGCAATCTTTTTTTCTTTTTTTTTATCATGTTAGCCCGATTGTTGCTCCAGCTTTTCGAGTCATTGGAATGATATCACGCGTGAGACGCGTAACTTTTCCAATTCTTTATGTGTTGTCCGGTTGTTTTGCTCCTTGGTGCGAGTTAGACTCGAGTTTTGCAGTGATGTATGGAATTCGCTGACTGCAGCTGTCGCAGAGCGAATTCAAAGGGTTCAAAAACGATTTGTTCGAATTGTTTCAGATAGGTATTTTGGCAGGAAATAGTATTACGACTATGAATGCATTCTTATAGAACTTTCCTTGTGCAACTTGTTAAAAAGACGGACTGCTCGTGTTGTTTCTATATTTACATAAATTTGTTCAATGGTATATGGATAGTGAAACGGTGTCATCGCTGGGATTTCATGTGCCAGCTAGTGGTATTAGAGACACGAGTGTATTTTATCCCTCTGTGCAATCATAATTGTCACCATTGGTGCGGATGCAAATTTGCGGAAATGAATTGTCACCTCATGTTGATGTTTTTTCACACTTTTTTGTCTTGAAACGAGAGCTCAGTATATATATATATATGTATTCAAACTATTGACCCACGCAGTATTTTTTAACCGTGGCAGACATCGTTATCGGTACTCCAATTGTATTACATTTTATATGCCACCACATTATAGTCTATTGGTTGTTCTGAACAATGAATCAAATAAAGCATTATTATTATCAATAATTTTATTATTATTATTATTATTATCATCATTCTTATTACACTTGATAGTTTTTCCTACCATGAGTCGATACTAGCGCTAATCGGGCTGATAAGCCAAGCAATCTTCCCGAGCCTTCCATAATCTCGAGCTCCTCTCTCTCAATGCGCACAAATGGTCAAGCTCCTCCTCGCCTATCCCTCTGGTCACATGACCTCCCCGTTACCAATCAGCGTCGCGCATCTCACATCTCCTCTTCCACCCGTTAATCAATCAGTGTCGAACCTCACGGCCGCGATTTTTCCAGGCTTCCCGAAATGACGAACATCTAGCCAAAGAACGTACCACGTTAATACGTGAACGCGGTTTTCCCGTTGAATGAACAAAACCGAAAAATGTGAACAACTTAAGTTTTACCTTTACGAAGCAGATCTATATAACCCCTATATAACCTCTTTGACTCAAAGTAACAATGTAAATAGCGTCTTCATTTCCACCCATAATTTGCAAAGAGGAGGGTGTGATGTCCGAGCAGCCGTGAAGTAAGAACCCATAAGGGCTAAACGACAGTTCGGTAGGCAGTCCAAAAACAAGAACACGAGCAAGCGCGCACCCTGGCACGCTCTCCCGGATCAGG